TAAAATCACCTTCATGGTCATGATTTCTATTGTGTTTTCTTCATGAATTATTAATGAGTTTTCTAATGATAGTTAGAAGTCCTAACATCAAATTTTTATTAGATTCACTGCTAATTTCCAACGACCACCAAGCAAAACACAAAATAAGTCTGATTACCTAGATGGATCAGACGGATCTGGAGTGGCTGTAAATTTCAAGAATGTTGCTGTTGACAGTGAGGAAAGTGATGCAGAGGAACAATTTGTAAATATAATGCTTCCAATCATTGAAGAAAAGGATGGCAATGAAGATGCCAAATCAGTCATAAGAGATCTTCTGACAAAGAGCACAGAGTTACGACAAAGATCTAAAAGTAGAAGTAGAGAGGATGCCAATGCCTTTAAGGATGCTCATGATGGAAGTGTTAATGTAGAGGGAATGAGGTTAGTTTTGCAGTTTTAAAACCCTTTTACAAGGTGGATAAATGAATGGAGAACGAACAGAGGGACGGAGGGATGAATGAACGAACGGGGGAACAGAGGGATGGACGGAGAGATGAATGAACGGAGGTACAGAGGTACAGAGGGATGGACGGAGAGATGAATGAGTGGAGGTACAGAGGTACAGAGGTACAGAGGGATGGACGGAGGGACGAACCAACAAACTGAGGAAAGGAAAGTCAGACTGACAGACATACAGAGGGGTTTATTGTTTGATATGATTGAATGATTGATTGATTAATTGGTCGATTGATTGATTAAAATTAAGGAATATGACTGAATGAATGAAAGAACGAACGAATGATAAATGAATGAACAACAAATGAACAAAAAAAGTCCCCATTCACACCAGAAATCTCCAAGAAATTACTTTAATTTCTAAGTCGTACTCATGCAAGATCTTAAAATCCTAATCATCCTGCTCCCAAGGATAATCTTTAAAAAAGTTCAAACTTGAAATCTTTGTGTACTTATTCAGAGGCAGGAGAGCAATGACAGTAGCAACAGATGGAAGACCTGAAGTAAAAAAACCTGAAGTCAACCCAAAATCTTTGAGTCCAATAGCTCGAAGTGCTACAATGAAGTCCTCAAAGCCAACCTCACCAACTGATGAACGAACAAAAAATAGTCTGGTCATAAAGCCATCTTTGTATAGTGATATACCAGGAACCAAGAGGACCAAGGAAATTCCCTTCAGCCAGGTATATATATAACATACATATAGAAGGGCGGGAATGGTTGTCAGAAATTTTGAAAATGACCCCTAAAAGGAACTTAAGTCTCATCCAGCTGGGTGTGGCAGCTAGTGATGTTTACCCCTAAAAGGAACCTATTATGAGATCTAAGTGATCAAAGTCAGATAATATTAGCTAAAAATAAATATCCTGAATTATAGCTACCATTCTGGCTATCAATTTTTTTAGGTAGTCTTAGGTATCTCATTGCTTGAAAAACACCCTTAGAGCTTACTCCTTCATGGTCACCAAGCATCCCCCTCCCTCCATTGTGGTGACCCTACCTTCTAGTAATACAGTAGCGTGTAGTAATTTACTTTGAAAGTTTTTAAATTATAATTGACCTTTTCAGGAACCTGTTTGGGGTGATACCGTTAAGTTTGATGTTGGTCCTAAAGATAGATACTTGAATGTTTGTGTTTGGAGCAAACCCCAGGACAAGAATGATAAAGACATCTTAATAGGACATGTGAGTAGAGGTCAAAATGTTTTATGATCTTTTTCTCTCTGTCTTTTTCCACCATCCATCCAGCTGATCTGAAGTACTGAGTGATGTATGAATGACATCATTGCTAAAATGAAGTGTTATGAAGCCTGCAGAAATTGACCACCAAAAAAAATAAAAAACATACCCACCATTGGAATAACATAATATGTAAAATGAACTTCATGTATTTCATAAGTGCTATGTGGTCCACATATTCTCATCTTTGCATCACAATTACCGCTACCTAACATCTATTTCACCCTGGCCTGCTCTCAGTCTGACCTCTAGCTCAGCTGGTAGAGCATCGGTAGTACGATTCCGAAGGTCGTGGGTTCGATTCCCAGCTAGGTCGGAAATTAATTTTTCCGAATTTAATTCCAAGGGCTTTCGCCCGGAATAACCTCGTTCCCAAGCACTATAACTTATCATTATTTCTATATCTTCATGTATTTCATAAGTGCTATGCGGTCCACATATTCTCATAATATGTAAAATGATTAATTATTGTCTCTGATATGAAGTTTTTTTTTYCCTCCTTTGGTGGCCTGGAAATCCATAATTTCAAGAGGAAAAGTGATACCTCAGCTTGTCGCTGATTCTGATTGGCTATGATTTTTTCTCAGATCAGTTGTATGTAATTTAACAACCTATACCTCCATGTATTGCACCCTTAAAATAGGTCACCGTTCCCCTCATGGATGTTGTTGTGCAATGCCTTGCACTTGGCTCTAGACGTCATGAACAGACATTTGTGCTGGTTTCCCCTCATATTGATAAAAATATTTCAAGGTATATAGAAATTATTATACTAGATGATAGACAAAGTATTCTTGTTACCAGTGGTAAAAACCCAAGCTTCATTTTATCATTTCTAGAAACACCCACATTAAACAAATTCTCATTCCTCCCACCATTTCTCCATTTCTCCATCCATCTCTCTATCTATCTGTCCATCCATTCATCCATTCATCCATTCATCCACCCATCCACCCATCCAACAATCCATCCATCATTCATCCATTCATCCACCCATCCACCCATCCAACAATCCATCCATCATTCATCCATTCATCCACCCATCCAACAATCCATCCATCATTCATCCATTCATCCACCCATCCATCAATCCATCTATCCATCCATCCATACATCTATCCATCCATTCATCCATCTATCCATCCATCCATATATCTATCCATCCATTCATTCATCCATCCATCTATTCACTTATTCATTTCTATTTGTCTCTAAGATTTAATTCCATTGTAGTATTCAATTGATTAACTCTCAGTTATACCCTATTTCTCTTGAAAGACTTACCTATCTGCGTGGAATCCCAGGCCTAAACAGCAGCCTGGTTGGTGGTGATATATCTCTTACATTTGTTCACTACCCTTCATTTGGAGAATGTGATGATTCGGCAGTGCTTGAGAAAATGGAGGAGTTAGAAAAACTCAAAGCAGAAGAGGTAAACAAAACTCACAAATCTCTTTTACTTATTAAAGAAAAAATGCTTGAAAAACAACATACGTGATCATTAAGCCTCATGATAATCATGTATTATATAACCAGCTGACTGTCGACTGATGATTGGCAAACCTCTTTCCATCTATAACCTACACATGTCGGCTGGCCATAAAGTACATGATTACCATGAAATTTGATCTTCTTTTCCCAGGGACACCATCTCAGATCTAGTTACAGTACTCCTAACACTAGGTCACTAATCCTAAATTTATGAAAATGAGACCATTTGGAGGGGAGGGGGTAGGGGATGAGGATGTTGAGTCTCGCAATATTAATTATTATGGGATCATTTCAAATTAATCAATGAAAGCAGGGATGGATCCAGGATTTCGTTCGTTCGGGGAGGGGTGATGCGCACAAAGTTAACCCCAGGAGTGGTGCCCCCTTTTGAATCAAAAGGGAGAAAAACATTTTTTATTGATTATCTTCGAAGTAGGGATACAAAGTCGAACCAGGGAGAGGTGCGCACTACCTGTACCCCTCCCCTGGATCTGCCCCTGGAAAGCTCATGTTTGAAATAATTTTTCATTTTTATTTGACTGTTATTTACCCTCAGGAAGAGTGGGAACAAGAAGACAGCCTTGAAAGGTAAGCTTGCTTTGACAACTGTCAGTAACGAAAATTCTTTTTAAAAAGTTTAAAAACAATTAAACCATTATTTCACATTGCTCTTTTACTTTGACGAAGGACTAGCATCCGAAATGTCAGTAAGTTTTTTCATCTTTTCACGGTGTAAAATTTACCCTTTTATCATTACTGTTTCATTAGGAACACAGACACAACTCACACTAGTTTTTAGCTAGTTATCTTTTCTCATTATTCCACCAGACAGAATACAATTAATTTGTGGTGAGCACATGGGCTTCATGCATGAGGTCTCACGGTTTTAGCTCAAACAAACTAGCTGGAAAGGCATAGTTACAGTAAATGCAGGACTCATATTGAACCTTGTATTTGACCATAAATCTGTTTTGCTTTTCTATGGTATTGTACTGCATTTTGAACAAACCTGACATCAATCTCCATATACTTATTCTAGTGAAAGCATGGAACATAACTTCATTCTTACTCAGTTCTACTTCCCAACTCGCTGTAACTACTGCAGCAAAAAGGTAGGAAAAAATTCTTTGTGCGGTACAAACTTTATGAGAGAGTGGATCTTATGCAAGGACCCTCTCATCAGCATCCATTTTGTAACATTATTTATGATCCCTAGTGACCTTTTTTTTCATAGATATGGAGAAAGGTTGCTTTCCAGTGCAGGAATTGTGCTCTGATATGCCACAAGAAGTGCCTTGATAGTTGTAGAAGGTTCAGCAGTTGTCTAAGGTATTTATTGTTTGTTGAGACAGGACATGGTCTAAGGTATTTGTTATTTCTTGAGACATGACATGGTCCACAGATGTTCTTGTCCATGACCAACCTTTATTTAGCTGCCAATTGTCTAACTTCAGAAAAAAAAGATGGCTTGCAAATATTTTTTTAAAACCTCTAATTAATAGCATTTTTCTCCTTAAAAATATGCAGGTCTTCAGGAAAGAAGTCTCGTTGGTTTTCAAGAAAGTCTTCAGAAGTAAAGGCACAAGAAAATTCAAACACTGATATGACGCTAAAAGAACAGGAACAACAAGAAGCTAAAGAAACCAAGCATTCCACTCACGAAGCATACGGAAGTGAACATCCCATTAAAGAAGAAGAAAGGCAAAGGGAAAAAATAGAAAGTGAGAAAGAAGCCAAGGAAAGAAATGGTGATCTGACAGCCAACCAGGAAACATTGGTAAGAAGAACAATATAGATCATCCATGTTCTCTCAATTGAAGCTTTGGAAATATTTGAGTATTTTTATTTTATTTTATTTAGCATTTACCTCACATCAAATCATAGTTTTAAAAAAATGAAAAATATAAACAAATTACAAGCAGATGAGAGGTAAGGGATACCATCACAGGTTTCCCCAATAACGATGGTCCCTTGAATAAAATGACATTAAATTATTGAACATTAACTTAATTACAGGAGAAATKTTTTTTGCTAATGAGCGTCCCTTGCTTCATTTGATGCAGACAGTCTACTGCAGTCATCAATGTTGTAGGTTGCTAGTAGAGCTGTTTGGTAGTAGTTAAACAAAAAAAGGTATATAATTAAGGATTGTACTTCTAAAGCTTCTGRGTACAAGGTGTTCAAACCTCTTTTTCATTAATTTGGTGCATTCATCTGAGGTTTGAATTCATCCCTCAAAGACCCCTTAAACAAACTCTAAATCATGATCAAAATAAACTATGAGTGAATATCTGCTGGGATCAACATCACTCATCCTCCCTCCCCCTCCCCCTCCCCCTCCCCCCCCCCCCCCCCCCCCCCCCCAAAGGAGCACTACACAGGCTTAATTTGCCTTGACTTACTGCACGTTGCTGCCTTCCATTCTTCCCACTTTTCTTTCGTTTTTCATTTTCTTCCATGTACTCTTTCCATAGCAGATTACTACTGAACATCCAGCAGATGATAAGGCTACCAAACAAAAGTCTACACATGATATGGATGAAGCATCAGGCCCTAACGTACAAGGAAAGGGTGAAGCTATTGCCGCTGACATGGTAACAGCATCAGAACAGGTCAAAGAGGTCAGTATTGAACATTGATTTTCGCATGTCCTTCACCCATACACCTGATGCTTTTGTGTGTAGGCCAAGTCTATTGCATTGCTTCTTGTCTACCATCTGCCAACAGTCAAACAGTCATCATCATCATTTTTTCCCATTTGGCATGTTTCTGGCCTTATGGGGCTTCTGTATGGTCGGGAATCTTGTGTCCAGCAGTCACATAAAGTCTGGCGTCTTCATTATCATTCCGTCTAGCCTGTTGGCTGTCTATACCCAACAGGGTTTCAATCCTAGTCCATAATGTCCTTGATGTTTCTGAAGTGCACTATTTTTCATTCTGCATTTGTGTGCAATGTACTTGAGATGCTGAGTGTAGCAATGTGTTACCTAGGTCCATTGAGTGTAGTGAAGACATCATACATGTTTCTGAGATTTCTTGAGGCAAATTTTATTCATATCTTCCTAAGTAGATCTCTTTTATCTTATATGCAAGGGCTTGAGTTGGGGTACAAAGACATTATGATTCATATAACCTTTTTTCATTATAGATGGGTCGAGAACTCTTTACCAACTTGCCCCACGATGCACGCAAGAAGAAGCTCCAAGATATGGTAAGGGAATCTTCCATTCATCCCATTGATTTACGGTTCATTCATTCATTCAATTTTTTAATTCTTCCTTCCCTCTCTTTCCATCTCATTCATTTATCCCTTCCAATTATAACTCATTCATTTATTCATTTAATTCATCCTATTTTATCAATTTCACTCTTTATCTGCTCGACTCCCATCTTTTTCCATCTCATTCATTTACACCTTTTATCCCATTCATTTTTTTCTTTGCTTTCATTCTTGATCGTATCTTTAGATGGCAAGACTGCAAGTTGAGATAGACGAGGAGAACGAGACACTAGGAGAACTGTACATAACCAAGAAGCGAACAAAAGACAAGAAACAAAAAGCCCTTATCATGTCAATGATTGTAAGTTCATTCTTTAAAACACCTGGAATAATTTTAGCCTGTGTGCATGGGCTTTAATCTCACGTCTCAAACCTCTTACTTTCGGAATCTCATACTTTACTTGCTCGGGAACGTGAGATTTTATCTCTGTCCTTGATACCATGTAACAACCTCGGGTTGATCAATGTCAGGGCGCGGATAACTCTCAAATCAAATCCTGAAGCAACCTCTCTGAGCTGATGTAAGTCAGGGCATGGCTAACTCACAGTCCGTACCCCGAAACAACCTTTGGGCTGATCAATATCAGGGCACTGTTAACGCACAGATGGAACCCTGAAACAACCTCTGGGCCGATCTAAATATTCACTGATCGAATTCATTAGAATTTATAAAAATATATTACGTCATCGGAGGTAGAAATCCGGAGAACCCGAAAAAACGCTCTTGAACCATGAGTGAATGGTTTGACCTAACAATCCCTACTTGTTTGTCATGCCAAGTCCAGCAATTGCAGTGAACCCCAGACCCTAGGGAGGAGAGGCGAGTTTACTATAGTACTACAAGACTACCCGTGATTTCCAAGGCACCCCAGAGAAGAACAATCTTCGTGTTAAAATAATAGTCTTAATGTCTAACCTCCAATGAATTTGTTTTTTTCCTTGCAGACGAAATCAGAAGAGAGAGGTCAGGCCCTGGCAATGCTCATGTTACAGTACTGCGCTGGATTGCAAGACTGTGCCGATGCTGAAGACGAAGAATGTTACGAGTTGTAGAACATATACACCCAAGGGGTGGATTGGTTGTCTCTATTTGCGGTCTCTCCTTTCCTTTCCTCTCGCTGGCCCAGTATAGAGGTTTTTTTACGGCTGCCATGATGCCATCACACGGCCTGAACAAATACRTGTTTTTGCATGGAGATTTCTGGTTAAAAAGTAGATTGAAACTTTGACTTATCAAGAGGGTTTTTCGTCTCTTTTTTCATTTCATTTATTTCATTTTCTTTTTGTTTTGTTTTAGTTTTCGTTTTTTGTTTTTTTTGTTTGTTTTTTTTTTCTTTTCTTTTTGTCAGTACAACATGTCTACCGTAAATCGATCCAATCCCTTCATAGAACAATTACAATTTTTTGTCGCAAAGGTGTCGATTCGACTCGCGATTCTTTGGCCATTCATGCATCAGACATGCAGACAAGTCTTAATTTGTTCATGGCAAGTCAATAGATTAAAAGTTCAGAAAATAGTTCCATGCTTGAAACTCCTCCAATTTATGGTAAATGTTTTTACAGATACCCATTTTCTCAGGAAGAGCGGAGGGAAGAAGGAAGGGAGGGAGGGAAGAGAAAATAAAATAAAAACAAAATAAAATTTGGGTTTTAACTACGAAAAAAGAAAAACGAAACACGGCGTTTTTTATGTATAAAGCCCACCATCCCCACTAAAACGTATAACACATTTAGTTGAATAAGCAAGAACAAATATTATTCGATAGAAAAATTATAATAATTTCATTTTATTTTACTTATTAGTTTTAACAAAGTTGTATATAAAAGATTATTTACTTCAAAAATTTAGGAAGAACGTTATCAAGAAAGAAAACTGTGAACAGACAGACCAAATTTTCACCTCTATAACTTATTTAACTCGTAGCGATTCTATATCATATCATACTATATTAAAATACACTTTAAAGCTTAATCCAATAAAAATCAAGAGATAAAAGCTCCATTTTAATGTTTTTTTATCTTTTTTTTTTACTTTTGGGAAGAACTTTATATCGAAGACGATTCAGCGGGAGCCTGAAACGAGGAATTCCAACTTCCGGTTCCGGTTCGTTTTCGCGCTTCGTGATTGGCTGAGATCAAATGCAGCGGGCTTCTTGAAATATAAAGAGCCAAACGTTCAGTTTTTGCACGCCATATTACGACTAGATTCGAAAGAGTTTGGTGGCAAAACAACCGAAAAACATCGTTTTTAACCTACCTTCCAAATTAGTAGTGAGCTGTGTACTTGTGCTCAGCTCTAGACTTTTTAACAAGGCGTAAAATTTACTCGTTCAGTCAAGAAAGAAGCTAAATAAGCTAGTTCAAAGAAACTCTTTTCCAAAACAGTTCTTGTTGTAGAAAATGTCGTTTGCTTTTGGTGGTGCTTATCAATTGACAAATAACTCGAACCAAGAGATTCAAGTTAATAATACCTTCAAGAAAGCCAGGTTAGAAGATGGACAAGTAAAGGTAACGAAACGTGCTGCTTTGGGGACCATTACCAACAACGTGCAAGTCCGTGTGCAGCCTCACCGAGCGGCAAAGGTTTGAACAACTCTCTCTTTCTAAACTCTTCTTTTAACTCATTTAAAGCTTCGAAACCTTGAAAATTTGAATTCCTTTGAATATACTAAAAAGTGTGCATAAAAATATGCTGTGGTTTTATTTTAAAGGCTGCATTAAGTTCTGTGAATGGCGGTCCTGGGTTGAAGAATGACGAAAACGCTTACTGCCGTGATGCCAAATCTGCGTTCACCATCCCTCAAAATTCCATGCAAAACTTCTCAATCCACGTCGATGATGAACCAAAAGTTTCTAAAGCCCAAGAAAATGCAGTCTATGATCTACAGGAAGATGTTTTGAACCCTGCAGTTACTAGCTTGTCAAGACCTGCTCTGACGAATGTCTTCGTCGCCAACAGAGCTTGTGAAGGTAGAAAGTTGTCCTTGATCTTTTATTCGAACGTTTTAATATAGTCATAAGGATTCTCATGCAAAAGCCAAAAACCTTGTAATTTATGGTCTTATTCTCTTATTGTCGATAGATTCGCCTATGGTGATTGACTCGGATGTAAGCAGCGAAGATGAAGAATTTGAAAACTTGAACGAGAAGCAAACCGCTCTCGAAAAGATCGAATCAAATGCTGACCCGGTCCTCGAAGTCCCAGAATATGCTCAAGACATCTTCAAATACCTTAAAAATGCCGAGGTAAAATAGCTTTGATAAGACTACTCTTTCATTCATTAGCTAGATTTCATTTAATTTACAGTAAGCTTCAAAATTATTTATCAACTGAACTTGAATCACCTTGAGCTCAAAGAAAATTTATGAACGGCATTCATACATCCTTAATTATTTAAAATACAGTACTGAAAAGAAAAACTTTCATTATGGGGAATTATTTAAGATGGGTAGGTTTTAGATGATGGTAAAATTTAGATTGCTGGAAGGTTTCTTGAAAAACTCATAGCATGTGATTCAAAAGCCACTTAACTGTTATGGATTGACCAATCAGAAGRCAATATTTTGGCAGATTTGTGAAATGTACAAAGCCCTCTTAACACCCCATAGCAAATAATGCAATGTTGTAAATATATGATCTACATTTTACCTTGTTCAAATTTAGTTTGAAATTCAGAGATATCTCAATCCGCTGAATGAATGAAATCTTAATTTAAGCAATACTATCAAGAAAGGCCTTAATTATGGACAATGCATTTCCAAGCATCTGTCATTCCCTTGAGAATAGGCCTTTTTAATGATTTAGCAATGCTTCAAAAATATTATTGATGTGGGTAAAACTTGAAAAAAAGAGTTTTCTTTCTACGATGTTYGAGATGAGAAGAGTTGACCAAGATAGATCATTCAAGTTGTCATTAAGCTGGTATAAAATCCAACTCAAGACCTAAAATGACATGTATTTCAGTATASGAATAAAACTAATATTGTCAATTATTCTTATTTGAAGCAAAAAACTCGAGCTAATCCTGCATATATGGGAAAGCAAGATGATATTAACAGCAGTATGAGAGCCATTTTGGTGGACTGGCTGGTTGAGGTTGGCGAAGAGTACAAGCTCCTACCACAGACCTTGTATCTGACTGTCAGTTACATTGACAGATTTCTGTCAGCTATGCGTGTAGTGAGAGGCAAACTACAGCTGGTTGGGACTGCTTGTATGCTTCTGGCTTCCAAATTTGAAGAAATTTATCCACCTGAAGTTTCAGAGTTTGTTTACATCACAGATGACACATACACTGCTAAACAGGTACTTAATCTRCTTGTATATAGACCTCTTTATGGTAATATGGATTAAACAGGGAATTGAGGGTGATTTAACAGTTGCGCACTCACCTTTAACYTCAGGGGTCTTGATTGCTTGCCCCAGCTTGTGCTGTGTCATAAACTATGTGCTTTCAACTAAACTTACTGGATCTTCCCAATCCACAGGTGTTAAAGATGGAACAGCTTGTCCTAAAAGTCCTGACTTTTGACTTGTCAGTGCCCACAATTTTGAATTTTCTAGAGCGATTCTTAAAAGCTACACAAACACCTGACAACATGRCTCCAAAAGTAGAATCTCTGGCAAGAGTAAGTAAATGAGGTTCTGTGACAAAATGGTATAAAAACTAGTGTAAATTAAAGCATTATWATTTTCCATTTTCACTGCAGTTTTTGATATTCTGCAAACTACCACATTTCAGCAGGTTGTGAAATTAGTTTTTTTTCATTGCARCCAGTTCAAGAATATAGAAGTTACGAACTGATTATTTTTGATTGATGACTGCAAAAAATCAAATTTCAATGTTACGAGTTTGCAGAATATCGGAAACCACAGTAAGGGCTGGTTGGTACCCTCTGAATGTATTCCATGTGCAAAGRGTACCATAAAGCAAGGACCAAAGGGACACTAGCTATGTTTCTCCAACACCAAACAATGATGTTTAACTGCAGGCATAATGGTAATAACATTAATTTTTTGTGGTTCTTGTTTAGTACCTTTGCGAGATGTCATTACTGGACTGTGACCCATTCGTGAAATATCTGCCATCAACAATTGCAGCATCTGCTGTTGTACTTTCACTACACACTCTAGGACTACCATTCTGGGTAAGTGAGAGTAACCTAAGTTTCCTATTCACAATATTCACATTTTCTAAATTGCACATTATGCTGAAGAGTAATCAGAAGATAATCTCATGATAAACAAGATGTGTGAGGGAAAATTAGGAACAAAAAATAATAATTTTGAAGAAGTTTAGCATTTATTCCTGAACATCTGATTGGAGAAAAAAATCCTGACAGGTTTTGACTGATTACCCCCCAAAAGCGAAGTATTGTGTTAATGTGAAAAAGCCAAATATAAATGTAATTCAATTTTTTTCCTTCAGAATGACACCTTAAGCCACTACACTGGACTCGAATTCCATCAACTGCAATCTTGCATTCAAGACCTACACAGGGTTTTTGCTCATGCACCAAAACGTCAACAACAGGCAATAAGAGAAAAGTACAAGAGTTCAAAGTAAGTTCAAACTATTTCATTTTTGCAGTAGGATAATGTCACCACTCCTCCTGAATGGGAAGCTGGGCCATTGCAGGTTACCCTCACCTAAAACTTCTCCAAGTTTGCCTTATTGGTATTATTACCCACAATAGAGGCTTTGCACCATCATGTGATTGATGAAGCCATGACAGGAGGCACAACAATAGTCTTTTTCCCCTGGAAACTGAATCCTTTCTCATTAAATCAGATTAGACCAGAATCAATATTGTTCCTGCCTCCTGTCATGGCTGCCATCACTCGATCGTGCAAAGCCTCTATAGCAGCCATTCAAAGCTCTTGGGCAAAGGAAGCTTGAGGACCAACTGAAAAGCTCTTCATCAAGCTCTAGCCTTGGCATCCATGACCCAAGCTATGGAATGTCATTTCAGACCATGAAACATTCTGTTGATTCTTTGTTGTATTCATATTCATGTGTGATCACATACAATCATTATAGACAAAGAAATGATACTCCAAGGAATGACATCTGGTCTGAAATGGGAAGACATTATGTTAAACAGTTCTATTGAAAGATTCATTTTTCTAATACCATTTACTTCCCATTAGGTACCACAGTGTGTCAAACCTGTCACCCCCAGAACTCTTGCCCATGGTCTGAAAATGAAAATCTCAACAAATTATACAAGGAACTGGRAAAAAAATAGTACTCGTAGATAGAAATGTTTATCCAAATGAATTTAACAAATTTCTTACGCATTGAACGTCTGTTGTGTGAAAAGAGTGTCTCTATATTCTAATAACTATTTAACACTAAACTCTAACTGTAAATAGTCTATTTTTACTTATTTTTAATTCTTATTTTCTAATAGTTTACTAACTTAAAACTTTCTTTCTTGATGAAAATTTTTAAAAGTATTTTTTTCCATAAGTGTATGTCTTCATTYTTTAGATTTTATTTTGATCAAAAGTTTCTTGCTACAGCTAGATCTAAAGTATTTGGCAGAGGGGGAGGGGCCAATGCTCGACTTCTAGTAAATGACAGTAGTCCCTTTCACAGTTCTCAGCATCATCTTGAAAGGTAGCCATGCCTTTGCATTGAAGCTAGACAAATGGTGAGATTGCAACGATAGACATGTGTATAATAATTGTCCAAGATGTCAAAAAAGGTTCCTATCATTGCAAGCTCACCATTTGTCTCGCTTCAATGCAAAGGCATGGTTAACTTTTGAGATGGCACAAGGAACTAGAGTGCAAACAATATAACTGTGAAACTTTAGTAATACTAAATAGCACAATTTCTTGCAAATTCCATTGCTTTCTTTGTACTATTTAGTAATTAGTGTTTCACAGATTAATTATTTGCACTCTATGAAAGGGACTATCCCTAAAAAAAGTCTTCAAGAAGCAAAAAAAATTTTCTGTAGGCAAAAATACTTTTTTGTATGTATATTTCTTATTTCAAATCCAAAATTTCATTGTTTTTCTGRACCTGGTTTAACTTAACCCATTAAATGTTAAGTAAAACTAATAGCATATTCTATGATATTTGCAGGCATAGTTTTCTTGTGACTCTAGTTTTCACTATTACACAACCATAAGTGCAAAAATCGATACTAAGATTGGGTTTATATTGAAAACTAGGTTTTACATGTCTTAACGCATGCAATGTCGTTGCCTAAGATAAGTAAAATCACTCTTAACTATATAGATTATTGTGACTAAATAATGTACAGTATTGTAAGAATTTCTACGCAGAATCCCTTAAACCTGTTTTCATCGGCATCTTGAGCAACAAATATCTTTATTGCCAATGAAAACAGGTTATTGTAATCAAGTAAATTACTTAACTTTATTTTTAATGTAATTATACCATAAAAGTCTTGTAAATATATGTCGATAATAATACAAGTGTCATTYGTGTTTTCAATTTTATTCGATTGAAACTATCATTTTGGGCAAACWTTTTTTTCATCAATCAAAAATCCCAGTTCCCTTAGAATATATTTTAGCCCAAAGTTATCCCAAGAAAAAAAATACTTTTTCGAAATGGTAGATGTCAGCTTACTGAAAAACAGATTGCTGAATTGAAGGGGCTATCTTCCTATGGTCTATTTCGGGTATCAACGATTTTTTAGCGCAATAACATTACGAGAAAAGCTGCAAGTAACATTGCTCGAGAGGGCGAGAGTCGTTTCCTAAAATTGTTGTTGAAATTGCATTCTCTTGCTGCTGTTTAGTAGCTAGCGAGCAAACTTCCTTGAACTTTGTTTAGCGACTTTATTGCGCCAATAAAATACAAACTGACACCCATTTTTCTTGTGTAACACCAAGCTTATAAGAGAATAAGAACGTTTTTACTAAACGTCCGTACAATTCTCATACATATATACCCCAAAAAGATATTGTTTTTGCTCCTAAGACGTCGTTTCTTATTCTTTTTACGGTGATCTTTTCCTTGGAAAGCATCTTTACCAGGCAATAATTCTGTTAAGTCMTCGTCATTTTCCGTCTCTAGTTTCTGGTACTTTCGTCCATTCTTTATTTTCTTTTTCTCCGTCTTTCTTCTGGAACCAATCGTTCTTAATCCCTTGTTAGAGCGAACCATAAGTCGTTTTTTAACGAGTGTTTCCAAGAAGTGTTCGAAAGTGTGAGCAGTTAAGATAGAATTGAGTTCAGAATGTCGCAAAACGTGRTTATTGAGAACAACATCTCTCCAATCTTCATGAAATTTGAATCGTATTTCTTTAATATTAAATGCTATTCCAGGAAAAGTAGTGAAAAAGTCCTTGTCCAGATCATTACCTGAAGGCTTCCARGCCATCTTTACAGTCTTCCATTTTTCCTCCGTCACTTGGATCTCTCCCACTTTCTCATTACCTTTTATTTCTTTAATCTCCTTTCTTTGGTCAAAGGGGAAATCCTTCATTCTTCCCGCTGTAATATCTACAAAGTTTTCTTTCTTAAAAGTCCCGTTTCCCATTTGTTTTTTTCTGTCAGTCAACTTTTCTTCAGTTGCTGTTATCGTCAACTTCTCATCTTTTCCATTCTTTCCTATGGGCGTTAAACATTCATGGTTGTGATTCATTTTACGGTCCATCCTAACCCAGACGTTTTCTTCACCACAAACCATTGCTTTACCCATCTTTTTATCGTCTTTCAACGAAGTTTCAATAACCATTTTGAAATTGTTATTCAATTTAATGTACTTGTTATCATCTTCACTTGTGTGTGATCCACTATCTTTAGCGACCATTACTTTGTGTTTCATTAGAGAAAATCGTTTCCCTGAGCATGATACACCAACACCACCAACAACAGACGTTTCTTCTACCGCTTCCAATTCCTTTACAAGTTTTGACCTTTCACAAGGGTTATCGAGTGAGTCATGGCTATCTATGTTTCCTTGGTCTATGGTTTCACCAAATGGAGCTACAAATGCCTCGAAATTCGTGATTTGTGATTTCTCTCTACACACGGGATTCAACTCACCTTGGTTTCCCAAGCACCGAACACACTGTATTCCATGAATCAAACAACTGCCTTTACATACTTGTTCATCATGACACAAATAATCGGCACAGTCTTTGGARAAAATCGACACAAGTTTTTCGGTACCTTTAGAATCGAAGCTGGTGAGGTGATCATGATTTGTGGCCACCGAGTCTTCGTATGTTCTTCTCATTCTTAGGTCAAGGCCTCTTACATGCGAAAAGGAATGCAAATCTATTCTTCTGCACTCCGTACATTTTTTATCGCCACTGTGAAGAAATTTTGACTGACAAGAATAGAATATAGATTGTTTATCGATTTGATCTAATTTAATGATATCTTGATCGCTTTGGACGATAGCCCCTAAGGTATTGATAATACAGTTTTGACTTGTCTCTGTAAACACACTCTTCATCTTTGCTCGTAAATCATAAGCGCACAAGCTGYTTCCACGTTTGTTTAACGTTTGAGGGACGGCTTCCACAAACCCTCTAGGGCTGTTTCCGGTGTTGGACTTGGTTCCTGGTGATAATGATGTATTTTCGTTGCACTTCAAATAAGAACAAAGCCAGCACTTGCATATTGAATAAGAGGATGATTCCTTTTTCTTAAAGGAAAGATTCATTTTGCATGTTTTGTCATCGACTGTTTATTTGGAGTTTGTTCAAGACCTCATAWCTCCATCACCTTAGCTCAGGCTAATCGTTCGCAACCAATTTGCGTTTCTGTCAAAGGACTGTTTGTTGTGACKTGTGCAAATTGGTTATCTTACCTTATTTGTTCATGGCTATTGCAATGTCATTTTTTAGGTAAAGTGTACTAGCCTTCTTCTACCTCTTGCCACTTCTTTGCTTAGACATAATTACAATGCACATCAATTCTAGCACCAAGCTTTACAAATAGGTATTAGATAGATCTTAAGGCTGGAAGTTATTGGACCTCGTGTGCGAGACTTCAAGGTGACATCACAAGATTACACTCGATGTAGCTTATTTCGTCTGCATCTGGGATTAGTTCTTGCAATAAGCTAAGTCATCTAGTCGTTTTCGTATCGTAATGAAGGGCTTACGCGTCTATRTCGCTTTGTTTGATCGCAAATCAAACAATGATCGGTCATATGACAAACATTGGTATTAGATTTGTCAACGTTAATGTTTAACAAATTTGATTGAGAGAAGTGTTGACACAAAATCTCACCTGACCTGCTTGGACRGAGCCTCCGATATATTTCGGCCGTTGTCTTTTTTCCCTGGGGAGGGGGAGGGGAGGGGAAAGGAGGGGAAAAGGAATGTTCTTTCTCTCATCTTAACCTAGATCTTCTTCCCAAAAAATGACAATGAGCGGACAGTGCAAAGGTTGGAAGTCGAACAGCAGCGTCCAATTACTGTAATTCTATATATAAATTCTCGTCCTGGGCAGTGATTGCATCGTTAAAGTTTCCTGTTAAGCTTCTAACTCTTCGATACTCAGGCACCATACTATGACACCAGAGAGCCTTTGACACCAAGTCGTACCTTCAATGCCGCATCTCTCAACTATTCCACTTTCAACTTTTCCCTTCTTCAATTTCACATAAAAAAACAACACAACAACATACCTCTCTATCTAATAATTTTTTTGCTTATTACAAACCACAAGTTTTTCTTAGTATTACAAACAACTCACTTCAAATAGCATTGATGTCATACTTTAAAGCGATTTCTTTTTCTTTTTTTTTTTTTTTTTTTTTTTTTTTTTTTTTTTTTTTTTTTTTTGTTGTTGTTGTTGTTGTTGCAGATACGCAGGACAGACCGCCCTCTTCAGCAGCATGCTGGTATGCTATGAAAAGTTTCTGGAGCATGCGTATTGATGTGGTCTAAACCTGAAATTTAAAACATAATATCTGTTAGAGTTTTATTTAAAAAATTGCTGCTGAAATGTCTAGATCTGAAGATCAAATAGAATATTCAAAAAATTGTTGAGAGGTGCTAATGTAATAAACCTTTTTACCTTGACGTAATATTGTCCAATTTCAGACCACGTGTCATTCTCTTGAGAATAAGACTATGTGTTTGATTGTATCCATATTCATGTGCCTTCTCATGCACAACCGTTAAACAAAGAAGTAATACTCTAGGGAATGGCGCAAGTTAAGAAGTCTATTAGAAGAAACTTTATCAAATATTTGACACATGCGCAGTTCAGGATAGTACATCCCACAAGTATTAATGGATCCTGAGACAAGATGTCGTTGCCAGAAGYATTTTTTTACATTAACTGTAAGGTGCATTGCACGTGTCCTGGTGTGTATAATTCAAATATTACAAGGAATATGGTAACTCTCTTCCTTTAACTGGGTGACGATTTTCAGTAATAAGAGGAAATATTTGATATCTTTCWCTACTCCTTATTATCAAAGTTGCATGTAAAATGAACTACCTTCATTAGTGAAGGTTCTGTGATTCCAAAACAAACTTGACATGCGCAAAGGAGGGTTGGAGTGCGTGGTGGGTTTCAGTTAACGATATCAATGAACAAAAGCAGAAAATAATTTTATCAATATCATCAATAAATGAATTTTAAGAATAGAGATAATAAAAACAAGGTTCAAACACTTGATGTGGTGTGTGTTATGCTTTATCAGTTAGATTGAGAGCTACTATGCGGCTAATTAATCTAATGAAAAATGGTTTGGTGTCAAACAGTTCATATCATTAATTCATATTAATATTATTRATACTGATGACCTTGAATTTTTCCTATCGAACACTGAGTGTGTCCTTGGAGTACTTTATATCCTAGCCTGGTTATGGTAAATGTTCTTTTTAAAAATGACCCATGGCAATTGATTATTTAGAAGATAGTTCTGACCATCTTCACAGTATACTAACCATTTTAATCCAAAGGAAGATTCTWTGGTCTCCTCCCCAAATTTCAAACGCATCCCACATTAATAAACCTGCTTCTGGTTATGGTGGACTAGAGAATTATACTCCCTTGGGATTAGAGTTGGCGCTCCTAATCCTTCGGTTATTATACTTGCATGTATTATGCTTGCGCACACAACTTAAGGGAACTAAGATTAGCAGAACAGTATTTTGTCAACAAAAACATCCCACATGGACACGAGTGTTGGTAGGAAAGAGSTAGATGAATCGTGTGAAATTGTATGGAGGAATAATATGCTGCGCAAAGGTCTGGATTTATAATCTCCTGCACAGTCGTGCGAACGACTGCAAAAGAAACTACTGCTTTCACTACTTTTTCCAAGGTTTAATCTTCAAACAAGCATTTCTTCTGTTTTGGATATAGAAAAAAAACATTACACAAAAATTTAAAAAACTTACCTTACTGACCCTAGCTTTAAAAATGATCAAAACTAACCCTAACCCTAACCCTAGCAATAATTTTAGCTGGGTAGGGTTAGGGTTAGGGTTAGGGTTAGGGTTATGGTTAGGGTTAGGGTAAAGATCGTTAGGGTTAGGGTTAACACTAACCCTAACCCTAACAATATAACCCTAACCCTAACAATATAACCCTAACCCTAACAATATAACCCTAACAATTTTTCTTTTGATTCTTTTTTTATTTTTATTTTTTTATTTTTTGATTTATAACAAATTTATTTTTTTATACCAAAACAATTTTATTTTTTGATTCTTTAAAGGGGGTACTTTTGATCCGACCCTTAAGACTAATTAAGAATCTTGGATATATACTAAGTGTTCAGTTTTATAGAAACGCTCTAGAATGTCTATGCTTAGAAGTCGAATTTTCGTTTCATAATTTCGTCCTCCACCTACTCCCACCTCCTCCCCATGCAGGTGCCTTCCTTCTCTATGTTTCGGACACAACTGTCCATGTGGGATGTACAATTTGTTAACAAATGTACAATTTATCAAGATTTCTGTTCGACCAAGTATCTTTATTTTAGCCTTTTATCGTACTTTCTGTACGGGGAGATATCATGGAAGACCCATAAATCTGGTTATCCAGCAAGGAAGGATCTCAACATTGGAAGATCCTTAAAAAAGTAGATGAAAATCCATATAGGATCCTCCACGTCCCCATCCAATCTCCCCGTCTCATAAAAATGCAACTACCTAGATAATACCGACACCGTGGTCCATGTGGGATCTTCTTTTTTCAAGCTCATTCATATTTTTTAACGAGGACAAAACGAAGGTGGACAGGAGATCACAATTAAGATAAGATATGAACCAATTAATCTTTCATTTTCTTCAACAAATATCCATAAATTTATGAACCATATCRAAAATATGCAAGACTATTTCACCCTCAATCATCCAGACAACACGTTGAAGGTTAACTTCATTTCTCGCTGTTTGGATATCACTCATTTTCTTGTTTGATCTTTTTACCTTTATTACTTCTTGGCTCGAGCACCGCTCTCATGAGCGTTGTTACCTTTTATTGCGCTAGGCATAAATTATCTGCAGGAGCAAAAACGTCAAATCCCAAGGGACTAAAATTGGCTATTCAAACAGGATTATCCATGTGGGATGCGTTTGAAATGCGTTCTGGGATGGAAATGAATTTGCTGTCAGTTCGCGTGGGCTTGCGCACATATAAAAGCAAGCGAAAGTTCAATTGCAAATACATTTTTTT